CCCACCTCACCTGGCCCTAATCTTTTTTTTATTACTATAATTTATTTCTGAAGTTTCAGTTATAAAGTAGCTGTTAAAATAACAGTGTTTTCTAAGTCTTAAATGCCTTTCTTAACAATTATAAGGACAAGTCGATTGTAAGATCAATCTCTGAGTTCAAGAGTTAACATTCATATTTCCCATGTTAACGTACATTATTTCTGATCATTTGATAAGAATTTTACTAGAGACCTAAAAACGTACTCAGATGATCCAGAGGTAAATTACTGGATTAAACTATAAAATTAACTGTGGCAGGGACTTTACCAATAGAAAAACTAACAAAGGAGTCAATTATCACTGTTCTGTTTATTCCCTTTGACAATACAGTTTTAGGTGCTTAACATAAGTATTCCCATAGGAATTATCAGTATATACATTCACCATTTGGTCTCACATTAAACAAGATAAAACTTCCATTTTAAGCACACAGGACTGAGAAAAACAATGTCACATATTTGCCCATACTCTGTGGTTATAAGTTTTCATCTAAAAAAATTACCTTTAAATCAGCTACTTCTTCATTATAATTATCTTGCTTGGTGACATTTGAAAAGGAGCGCAAGGCTCCTGTGAGACGAGGTAAAGCCATTTATTATTCAATCAGTGATCCATACAACCAGAAACCTGAAACTGAAACAAAACAATATGATATTTATCTGTTCAGAGGAGGTGGGAGAGGTAATCAAACTCAACAAATTGACCCATGCAAGAGAAAAAAGAAACAAATTAATTAAAAAAGCAATTGCTACCAATGTTGAAAAATTTTCCTGACACATTTTCTACTGCTGAAGATTTTCTTTTTTTTTTTAAATAGCACATTGGCTATGGTTGGAGAAACGAAAAAGAAACAAACACTTGTTTCTAGATGGTACTATAACATTCCCTGAGTTCTACAGATTCCCACATGCAGGACTTAAATACTGTGTTACTATTGCCAATAATATTGAGAGAGATAAAAGCACTTGCTCATCTTTTCCCCAATTTTGTTTAATGTTCACTGGTTTCAAATTATACAACTTTCTAGTGGTTTCCCCTTTGCTTGGAATGCTCTTCCCCTAGATGTTCACAGAGCTGGCTTAATATGCAAATCTTGGCTTAAAATATACCTCCAAAGACAGAGCTTTTCCTGACCACTCCACCTAAAAAACAGGGCAGCTCCCCAGTCACTATCTATCAAAGCACAAAATTTTAATTATCTTTATGGCACTAATTAATATGTGACATTTTCTCACTTACTTCCTGATGTATGTGTTGTCTCACCCCACAACAAGCAAGTTTCATGACAGAAAGGACCTCTATTTCACTGATCTCCCAGCAAATAGAACAGGACTGTAATATTTTTGGCACTCAATAATTATGTTAAATTAATAAAAGGAAAAAAAATGAAAAGAAGATAATGGTAACAGGGAGACTGGAGAATAGAGGAAAGAATTAAAGCAGCTGATGAAGGGGAAGAACATCCACGGACAAAGAGAAGTCAGATGACCTGGTCTAACCTCCTTGTTAATATGCTGACAACTAAACAACTAACCTCCAGGAAAATAGTCTAACATTGTCCTGGTTGAAGATTGCTTATTATATAACACAACTACAATCTACAGATTTATGAGGCATGGCTACCTGAAGAACTTCACATAAGCTATACAAGTCCTTAAAGCATTTCTCAGCTAGGGATGATTTTTGTTCCCCCATAAGACATTTGGCAATATCTGGAGTCCTTTTGGGTATCACAACTGGAAGGGAGTTGGAGGGGCACTACAGGCTTCTGGTGGATAGAGGTGTCAACTAAGAATTATCTAACCCAAAATGTCCAACGTGGGAAGAAAAGTACCGGAGGGGAGAGGAGACCAGCAGGGAGGGGAGCATACAGTATGTCTCAGACCACTCCTCCTTCCTGCTTTTCCTCTTGATTGTTGTATTCCTGAAGTTATTACGAAGTTTAATACTTGAAAAAAAACTGACTCTAATTAGAATTAGATACAAAATAACTATGTGAAATGTTTA